ATCAAAAAGTACCAAAATTAAATCAAAGACATTTAACGGAGATAGATACTGGAAATTATTCAACAGGATCATTAGGTGGAGGAGGTACTGTTTCTTGCCTAATATCTATTTTACCGTGAGAATTATTCGATTAATTTGTTGTTTTTTTGTTATTTATCACAGTTGGGGCACCTCGTTTTAATTCTACCAGAAATGCTTATGATGATGCTGCTTCAATAATAAATTCATCACTTTCTAATCATGATCAACGGCAACAACAAATCCATATTATACAGGTGAAACAGAAGAACTTACGGACGCTACATACACGAAGAGAGAAAGTAAATCGAGACTTCAACTCCGTTAGTGGATAGGGAGACATATAATTTAGGTCATACAGGAGATCAAAATTATCATCGTCAAGATGATCAAAAGAAGCAACCCGTCATAATACCCTTACTTCAGGATACCAAAATCATTATAAAATGAATATACTGATATAGATTTCCCAGTGGTGGTAAAAATGCACGTCAATATTTGATTGCCAGTGACTTTGCTAGATCTGAGAAAAATGAAAAAATGGATGTTTTTCTTGGTCAATTTGATCTTATTTACTATATTGATTTTAATTGGTTTGGGCATTACTGCATTTTTTGTTTGGCCTCCGCAAACCTAATGTTGATTATTACAAATCCTCCTTACATTAATAGTAGTTTTAATATGATTGTTGAAATTGATAATTAAATTCAATAAAATTGATGTTGCAGTAAGTTGAGGTTATTTTTTGGGGGTTGCAAATCATCATTAATTTTGTTTTATTAAACATTTTTCTTTTCGAACTTTAGGTAATTGATAGAGAAGCTAACAACGATAAATTTATTGCCAAACCCGAGTACACTTTACAAATAAAGTCTGTTAATTCTTTAGAATTTCCACTCACAGTTAATTGTAAAGCTGATGATGTTAATAATCCTGTTATAATGGATTTTGTTGCCGCTTGTACGCCTGATTCTGAAACAAATGCTCCTCCTTTGAGACTTGGAGTTGACGTTGAATTATTTATCTGGGGCAAAGATTGGATTTACAAACCAAAAATTTCTGTTCCTATACCTGTTTATAATGTTAAAAAAGTGTTGGTTTGTTTATTTGGTTTCTTCCTATATATACAATTAATCAGCCTTATTTTTATTTATTTACTTTTGTAAAATAAACTTTTATTATTATTTTAAACTAATTCTTTCGCGTTAAAAGGATTAGTTAGTAATTTGAAATATTTATGAGTTATGTTTCGCATATACCTATCAATATATGAAATATTTTATATCGTAAAATCTCAAAATTAAAGTTTAGATTTTGAGCAGAGGCGTAATTTAACGTTATCGTTAATTCCTTTTAAATTCGGACGGAAAATCATATTCAGTTAACAAATGATGATGTCTAAACATCGCCTTAAAATGTTCAGAATATGCCAAGAAAATGTAGATACTTCAGAACATCACGAATAAATTCGGGAATCTTCTTATAGGGTTATTTTATCATTATTTAATATAAATAAAACAAAATTCGATTTTGCTTTAATCAAAAAATTAATACAAAATTTCGTTAAATATTCTAGCGACATTAAATTACAAAAACGTTTCTCTTCATGAAATAAATGAACCAAGCAAATTGCATTAATTGATTTCCATCCATATTTTTACCACCCACCTATTGTATATTTTCCAAATTTAAGCATTGTTCCAACTAGGGATGTTAAACGGTCCGAACAAATTTAGTTATAGAAAAGTCTGATCAATAAGTAACTCTTGTTATTAACAAATTTTATGATAGGAAAATGAACTTTCATGGGACCGTTAAGTTGGGACCCATTACTAAATTTCAAAAATAAAGGTTCTGGAATATTTTTCATAAATGTTCCATTAATACATTAAACAGTAAAATAAAATCTTTTCTAGAACTGGCAAATTTATTGGGACTTTTAGAACCGCTTAACATCCTGGGTTCCAAATGTTAAACCCATACTAAACATTATCTCTGCTCAATAATCTAGCTACTGTGAGTAACTGCATACTGACCAACCATAAACGCCAGCCAGTTACTATAATTTATTAAATGTGAAAGAAAAAATTAATTAATTAGTAATTTTATAAAACTATCATAATTTCTAAAAGGTTCTTAACGCTATTTACTTTGAAGACGCCCTATTTCCTGTATGATTGGCCGTATATTCATCAACCATAGACGTCAGATCAGTTACTATAATTATTAAATGAATTAATTATTTATTAGTAAGTTTATAAAACCTTAAGTTTCTCAACGCTATGATATTTACTTTGACCAATATAGTAGAAGACTTTCTTCGAACACACCCAATTCTTTTATGCTTGGTAGTCGCATATTATTGTGATAAGTTAAATAAGTTAAATTGAGCTGTAACATTTTAAATAGATGGTTTATTTATATAAAGTCTGAAAATTTTTTCGTCTCATATAATATGTACAGTATATATGATGAGGGTTTAGGTGGAATTCAAACATCAATAATTAAAATTATTTTTAGGTAACTTTTATTATAATTAGAAACTAAGCAAAAGCATTATTGAATTCAAGAATTATGAGTGATATCCAAAATCATAAGATCAACTGATATAAGAATTACAAATGTTAATCTTCTTATATGAATTTCCAATATTAAACCTAATTTATATAACAGGAGTTATCTTGTTTGTTAGAGAAATATTTGTTAGTAGCAATAGTCTCCTATAAAATTATATATATACTGATTCATTCATTTCATCTTTTAATTAACAATTATTAAAGATATTTTTGACTAAGTTTAATAATTTAAACAATAGAACATTAACAATGATCTATTAAAATCCAGATTAGAATAATCTAAATAGATGGATCTGTAAAATTTTTTATTTAAATTGGCTAAATAATATTAGGATAAATCTGATGACTCTTTAAAAATAGGATCAGATTACTATCCTTAAGTTATAAATCCTCTTCTCAATCCTTTTTCAATTCAACTTGCATACTTATCATTTTTACATTTTTTTTAATTCTTTTATTAACATTAATCTAAGCTACTTCTTATTCTAAAAAAACTAATAAAGTTTTAATCAAGGAATTAGAGAGATTTTCTAATTACGTTAATACTATTTATTATAAATCTTTTGATTTTCTCAAATGGAATTGTAAACCTATCTGTGATACAACCAAAAGTACCAAAGTCAGTAAATTTATTACCACAAAAACTGAAATATAAGGTATTTATTTATATTATTAGATGAGAGTTTATAAAATTAATCAAAATTATACTAACTTTTCTGATAAATACAGTTTTATAAAAACTCTTAATAAAGAAAAATTGATTGTAGTATTGTATAGAGAAATTATAACTGAATGTCAAAAATCTAATTACTGATGTAAAATTTATTTTAACTAATTATCTATTTGTAAAAAATGCTAATATTTATATTGGATTTTATCAAACTTTTCTTAAAGTTCAATTTAACATTTTCAATTAAATCTAAAAATTACATAAAAAATCTAAAGTATAAGATCATTTTTTTCAAGACATAGTTTAGGTGATAGTAAATTGTATAATCTGAAAAAATTTTTTTTATCTCTATTTTTAACTTTAACATATATTTCTTTTTATTTAACATTCATTTTATTATCAGCTTTTAAATTTTTCATAAAACTTAAAAGATTTTAGTAAGGATAAAAGTTATTTGTTCGCTTTTATATACAGTAAACTAAGAGTTAGTAATTTAGAATTTGCTGATTATATAATAGTAAATTAATTATATTATGAAGGTAATTTGATTATCCAGTTACCTTCAAGATTTATTGGTTATAAACAACATCCAAATAAATTGTGAATATCAGATCTTACAAAAAATTCATCTAAAGTATTTAAATATGATAATCTCAAAGATCAAAAATATTTACTTTTAGTATTTGTTTTTAAATTAAGTTTATCTTTTATTCAGATCCTTATTATAATGTATCTATGTGAGCATATAAAAATTTTAAGTTTAATTGATAAATAGAAATTAAAAAATATATAATGGTTTAGATGATAATCTTAAAGAAAAGAATAAATTTTAATATTTACCTGAATTCTAATATTATAATAATAGATAATCTTTATAACTTATTATAATTTTTATTAAAGAAAACAATAGAAAATCTATATTGTTTTTATTTTATCATAATATTTAATAATTTGATCTTTTTGATGATCAATTTTTAATAAATCAATAGAAAATCTATATATTATTTTGTTTTATCTATATAAATTGCAATTTATATTTACATAAAATTATCTTCTTCACTATTATAGGTTAATGATGAAATTGGTAAAAACTAACAGACCTATCAAATATGACATATATGCCAAATATGACATATTTATAATTTAGATCATTTCTATTATTATTATCATTTATTATATTTTTATTATATCTATCATTATTATCATTTATATCATATTTAACATAATTAGTATATCTATTAGCTCTATTATTATTGTCAATAGTATTATAAATACTATAGATTTTTTTTAATTGTAATTTTCCTATATAAAGGACATGAAAATATCTTGGAAAAAGGGCAGATTTCAACAAGATCTGAACATTATATTCAATATACATTTAAATAACAATAAATAATCTTAACATTTTTGCAAATATAAAACTTATAATTTATTTCTTGTTAACTAAATAAACTTTCTAATAAACAGTGTGTCAAGTTGATTAGATTTAAATCATAGCTATTGCCTTCCTGATTTCAAATCATAGTTAACTTATTTGATGAAAAGAGTAATGTTAATAAATAGTGATTTCTGCTAGAATACTATTGACTTTATATATAATAGACTACTAACAGATTTAGCAAGGTGTATAAAAGTTTGAGTTAAAAAGAAAATTGAAAAATAGAATTGATTTTATACATAACAGTCCGCTAATAGATTTAGCAAGGTGTATAAAATTTGAGTTAAAAAGAAATTGAGAAACAGAATTGATTTTAGACTGCTAACAGATTTAGCAAAGTATATGAAATTTGAAGAAATTGAGCAACGAACTGCTCTTTTTAAGTAAAAGTAAATTGAGTGATGTATTACTCTACTAAAAAGAATTAAGCAGACAAACTTGCAAATTAAAGTATAAATCTGTAATATTTATTTTGAAATATTTTGAATTATTTAAAACAATTTAATCAAGTTAAAACACAAATTATTAA